AATCGCAGCTGCTGATCTAGAATATGGCCACTTATCATCACCACGGACGTGGCGGAAAGAGACAAACCGAAACTCCAACACGAAACTCAACGATACAGGAGATACAACGATGGATGGAAATTCCACATGAGGAATGCGGACGTGGCGGAAAGCGTCAAACCGAAAGCCCGAGACGTAATCCTACGACGATTGAACCACCCACAGATCCTATGGAATTAGAGATATATGAGAGAATAATGGAAGCATACGGGAAAATAAACAGTGAAGCAAGCGAACTGAACAGTGAAGCAAGCGAACTGCTTGAAAAAACAAGAAACTATAACCAGCAAATCAAGTCTGAAATGCAGACTACATCAGCGGAAGTCACTGACACAGAAATTCATGAAAGCAGCCGGCTTTTGGAGCAGACAGTGAGTGTGTCATCCGTAGATTCGGAAAGTTCATCCAAAAATATCACCGAGCCCCCCCTCAAAAAACGAAAACGTAAAAAGAGAAAGAAAAACAAAGCTACAAAGCCTGTTGAAAATTTATCCACTACTACAAATATCAGCCCTCCACCACTACTAGATGTCGCCACTTCCTTGCAGCAATCTGACAACGAAGAAAATCCTGACTTGACCCAACCCATGGAGGATTATAATTCAGCTGCGGCTCCACCCACAATTTCAGAAACAGAACCACCAATCATGCATATCAAAGTTCTAGTCCGTGGACTCACAGCATGTACCAATACAGATCATATCTCCCGTGAATTGGCCAAGACAGGCATTATAACAAGCAAAGTGATTCAGTTTAAAAGAAAAGTGGGCGAGGCCTATCGGCTCCTCCCACTCTTTCTCACAATATTGATCAAAACAGAACAAAATAACCAAATCTACTCAGTAACCAATATTTGTGACCTTCCCGTGAAAATTGAAAGATTTCGTGGAGGGAATAGCCCAATACAATGTTATAACTGCCAGAATTTCGGCCACACACAACGAATGTGCAAATCTCAACCAAGATGTCTAAAATGTGCCGCCGACCACCGTTCCTATCAGTGCCATAAGGATAAAACTTCACCACCTAAATGTTGCAACTGCGGAGAAGCACATACTGCAAATTACACAGGTTGCAGCAACCGTCCCCCCAGGAGAGGCCTTCGTGCAACTCCTGATACAATCCCATCAAGAACGATAGGTCAAGCCCATAGACTTGCATCAATTATCAAAGAACTTAAAGAACTCTTAAAAAACCGAGATGTATTTCAACTGCTGCAAACAATTATGAGGGAGACTACTCCGGAATAATTTCACTTTAGGACTAAAACTGAACTCTTCTCTGACTTTAAATATGCATCTCTATAAATTACAATTTAATAATCTTGAATGCTTCACACTAGATTACGCCACTAAGGCTTCGCAAAATTTGTAATTTCTTCCTGATTCTGATTACCGATTTTGTATATTCTTTGCTATCATCAACTCTGATTCCTGGCTCTGTAAATATTTATGCTTTCATCAATTTGTCTCCCGATTTTATATATACTTACGTTATCATCAACATTAAACACTCAATTTCAAATTTCTACTGATCATCAATGTAAATATCACAGATTAAGTTTGTATATCATGTTTTCATATCTAATCATGGCTATTTTCAATTTTCTTTGCAATTCATGTAAACCTTCGATCTAGTTGTACTTTCTAGTCATGGCAATATTATTATGTAACCATACTATCATATAACTCAAAATGACTATATACACTGTATTATTTTCATGATGGATGCGTTAGAGGCCGCTGCGCGGCCTAGGCACCCAATTTATTTTAAATAAAGTAAGTAAGTAAGATGCCAACTTGCTCCGGACAGCAAATATATATTTTAGAGTGGTAGTTTATTAATTCTGATTATTGGTTTAATAAATTCAATTAAATACATTTTTATCCACCACTATTTCTAAATAATTCGTAGGCTTATATAATTCAACACTTTTTTGTACCTGTGTCATGCCACATCTTTTAACAGTAAGCAAAAATTCTCAAATATTTGCAAAATTTACTTTGTAGTTATTTACCGTTTTTTTTTTATTATTTTGGCGTGTCCGGAGCAGTTGGCATCTCTGCTTCTTCGCCGCGTTAAATTTCCTTACAGTGAATTGTTATTGTTGAGAATAGATTAACTCCTCCCGAATATTATCTAATATCGAAATAGTTCTTCTACCAGTATTTTCACTTTTCCCGGCGTGAACGTGTTAAATAACGAAATGGATAATTAGCTCCACTGGAAATAAATTTTAAGAAATCCAAACTTTTAACTGCAATTCCGCCTTACTATTGGGATCATATTTTCCATATTGTAGCTGCAAAGAAATTGTGGTATCTTAAGAGTCAATAAACCAAAACCATCGGAAAGAAAGGTAAAGATTGAGACTATAAATATCCTATGAATAGATTAAAAGTAATTCAGGGTCTTACTTTTTTATTTTGCCCCTTGCGGAAATATTGATTGTGAAATAAATGAAAATGTTTCTAAAGATATTGATACTTTTTGCGTAAAACAGAGTGAACTCATTTTTTTCTTCATGATGCGTTGCTAATTAACCTCTTCAGTAACGTCATGACGCGATTTTCCCTTCCCGGCCCAAGGTGACATGTATGAAACAAGGTCTTTCTGATACCAACGGTCCAAAATCATATCTTTGAGTTTTTAGGTGCACGTGGCATTCCTGAAATATGATTGGTACAATAGAGGTTTGGTATCTATTTATAGTTCAATTGGTTCAGAAGATTCGGTCTGCTCTTTAAATATCCGAAAATTATGCAATGAATAAATTATTTTAAATAATATGTACTGTTTATTGCTCGTCTTTTCTTAAAGAAATGGTTAAAGTACTGAAAACCAAAAGTTATGAAATATAAAGGATAATGGCGTCAAATGTTAATCATGAAGTGTATCGTTCGTAATGTGTGCGATCCAGTGAATGTTTACAAGCAGAAAGTTGAATATAGTTGAATCTCACGACATTGGCGAACTTGTTCAGTTTTGCTCGATCGAGCAACACAATCAGATTTTACCACTGCCATAAGGAAGTTGACACAGCGTCTTCAGAAAACTAAAACACTGGTAGAAAATTTTTCTAAAAGAATACTCGAAAACTTTCCCCCTTACCTTTCAATTTATTTTTAAAAAAAATTATTTAACCTCTGCAAGAGAATTCTGTTCTCAGAATAATAGATTGGAAAGGTTTTCGATAATACGTGTTGAAGTTGTACGACCCGTGTTTTGTTTTTTAAGGATGCTAGACAGCTTAGCATCTAAAATTAAATAGATCTTGAATTGAAAATGTATCTTTATTTAAAAAATAATACCTGTAGAATAATTTTACATAAGGTTTACCTACGAAACATTTTTAACGCAAAGGTCTTATGCTTGTTTTCAAGAATGTTTATTGTTTTATAATTCTTATGTTCAAATTTATTTCAGGTATGTTAGAGGTAAGTAAGTTTCCCGATATCAGACCTGCCATCTCCACTGTCTTTTATTCGGAAATTTTTCCTAAATCTTTTAAGTGGTTGCAGAGTTTCTGTTCTAACATTTGATTTCAAAAGATTCTTAACAAAATAATACATAAAAATTTAAAAAGTATCTTTTGAATGTCGGGCCTGATAAATTGTGTGCATGTAATGTCAGAGGGTACTGATCCAGGAGTTTCCTTGTTTTCTGGATTGGTTCAAAATTACAAGGCTACGGAGTTGAACATTAGTAGTCATAAACCCAAAATTGGGTCAGCTGTTCAACGACGGTTATGAAATAAAATAGAATGAAATGACTTTTTTCCTTATAACGGCCATTTAGAGAAAAAAAAGAAGAAAAAAAACAGGGATTAAAGAATCGTTACAAAAGAATCGATCCATTTAAACCTTTCTATAGCCGTGGTAAGTATACTTACCACCAATTTTTCAAGTACAGGTTAACTTTTCTACCACTTTTAATTTAGGTTTCCCTTTGATAATAGCTTCAGCTTTCTTGAAGTGCGTTTGAAGTAAATTGGCAAACATTTGTTAATATAAAAAAAAAACGTATGTAAGTTATAAAATGCATTATTCCTTCTGAAGTTTGTAGCATTTATAAAATTTATTTTATGAATAAAGAAAACTAACTCAATAAGCTCCTAATAGTTCATGGTAAATATACTTACCACCAAAAAAAAAATGGCATAAAAATTTAAATTTATTATTTAAATTAATTATTATAAGCTAAATAAGTCTTTCTTTTTTTATAACAATTACTATTCTTATATGAGCTTCAACTCCAAAAATTCTTTAATTTTTACCTTTCCTAGAAATAAATATCCAACTAAAAGGTTAAATGAATCGATTGGCACATAATTCTTTTAAAAAGCGTAAATGCTAGCATGTATGCGCTAATAAATAAATTTGGCCTGATATATAATTGTTTTTATTATTAATATGTAGTGGTGGGAAAAATTCATTTAACTTTTAATTTGTTAAAATAATATTATGATACTTCTATGTAATATTATATTATTTAATATTTCCAATAATATATTATTTATTGACATGAATAATGCATCTTCTATTACATAGAGAAATATTTTCAGAAATGCGGAAATTCCGTAGTATATAGCTTGGTAGTAACACTACCGCTTCCACTAACTACAGAAATTCAATTCCGTCGTAGTATCTTAAAAAATGCCGTATCTTCACCACAGTAATTTGTAAATCAATTGAGTGAATCGAATGATGTTTTTGAGTATGGTGTTTTTACATAAATCCAAATCAATTGATATAATCCGCTCTTATCTTTAACTTGTTTATTTAGTTTTCTATTTTAAATGTAATCCAACACGTGAAAAATAATATTATTTGTAATAATTTTAAACAATTTAATGTGTTTTTTTAATTATTTTTTTCTGATATTTTATGTTATTATTAGTTTGAAGATTTTGTTTTTATGTTTCTTAAGATAGTTTCAAATTAAAACTTCTTGAATTTTCTAGAAAGCTATGCGTGACGTAAGTATAAATTTTAGTTATTTATTAATATTTCATATAGAAAAAAGAGATTCAAAAAGAAATTCAAAGATTTTTAAAAAATTTCAAAAATAAAATTTTAAAACTTTTAATATAACATTTTAATTCTGAAAAAAGTTATTACTGCAAGCATTTTTTGTTGTATACATGCAATTAATGGATAAGATCATATTTTAAATTTTTTTTTGCAGCAGTAATATTTTGATCAACAAATTTAAAAGTACAAAAAATCTCCCTTTCGCATTTATTTCAAAATAATTAATTTATACTATTACACAAAACTACCGCTATTTATGAAAAAACCTATCAGAAAATTTATGAAAAAACCTATTAGAAAATTTAATTAAGTAACTTCTTTTGGCATATCTCTTTCAGCTTACTATGGAAAGAGAATGCAAGAGACAGTTTCGTTCTAAATATATATAATTTGAAATGTAACTCATGGCTGTAGTTATGATGTATAAAAATTAAATAAATAAATTAAGTAAATAAGAAATGAATTACGATTCTTCCTCTTATTACTTTTTTCGCAGCACGTTTCATCTTCCACACTTTCAAAAAAAATTTTTTTTAATTTTTTATTTATTTTTTTAAAGATCATGTTACATACCTGCCAACTTTTAATCCCTTCCATTATTATTTTTCCCAGTGGTTTTAAAATGGAATTAAAACTTCAATTTTAAGCAAACAAATACGTTGTATTTGAGAAAACTTAAGTTGACAACCATGACAGTAACGCATATTACTATATGTGCTTAATTTTTGTAAGAATAGTGGTGATCAATATCATTTGAAAATTAAGATTATAAACGAAAAAATAGTTTATAATTACTACCACTTTAAATATGAAAATAAAATCTTCCGGAAAAGTTGGCAGGTATGATGTTATTTAGGCTGGACCAGTGGCCAAGTCTAGGGCTATATGGTTCAGGGTTTTGTGCAACCTAGGTACGTCTCATCCCTGACGAGGCAGAAAACAAGGGGTATAACAGCCTGAATTTCGCAATATGTAGGAAAATGATGACTCTGCTGTCCTCAGAGAGTATCAAACAAAAATCTCTCTGCATCGATCAGAAAATAACCACTTCTATTCAAAAATTAATTTCTATTAGCACATATCAAATTCATTTGATTAAATGCGTAAAAAAAATTCGATAGCTCAAAACTCCTATGAATTAAAGGTTCACACCCTTGTCCTGCTCAATTTAAAAAATAAAAATCGAAACATTATTAACACGTTCACGCCGGGTTGACCCACCAGTGGGTCACGCTAGATTGTCTCATCTTGGCAGCGCACCGGAGTAAAAACTGGTAACAATAAATTTCATTTTTTAGTTTTTTTCCGGGAATAATAAAAATCCATAACTACCAATTGTTTTTAACGGATGCAATTTTTATATTGAATTGCTTCTTCGCCGTGATAAATTTCCTTACAGTGAATTGTTATTGTTGAGAATAGATTAACTCCTCCCGAATATTATCTAATATTGAAATAGTTCTTCTACCAGTATTTTCTCTTTTCCCGTACCAGTATTTTCACTTTTCCCGGCGTGAACGTGTTAATACGAAGGATATTAATGTATTTATTTGTTAATTATTTAGTAATACATCTGAAAGAAATTTAACATTTCCAGATTACATAATCAATTTTTTTTTGTTTTTTTTTTTGTTTGGGAAGAGAAAAAAATGGCGTGGTATGCAGACAACGATCAGAAAAATTATGTAAAAATTGTGATAATCAGCAATAACTTTCACTTCGATACGTACGACTACTTTTAAATTTCATATGACAATCATAAACAATTTAAAAGGATGTGTTACTGAGCAGACTGTTGAGATAAGAGTACGCGGCAACGTGTTAGTATGATATAAAAATATTTTTAATTCATGCAAATAATTTTTACTGTTATCAACGTATCCTATTTTTATTTCAATTATGTAATTCCTATTTGTAGCTTGCATATTTCGGAAGTGGTGTAGTAGGGGTAAGTATTTCATGTTCTTTTGAAAACTATTTTCTTTATTGCAAGGCTGAACTAGAACAGGTAACTTTACTGTTAAGGAATCAACGGTTACGATCAAGTTAGTTCAGCCTTTTTTGGAAGCAAGACAAATATATCATCGACTCCATTCATGACTCCATTCCACTGAGCAGACTAGTAACAAAAACATCGTGGGGTCTTTCTGGATTAGGAGGCAATGGTTTAAGAGGTGGTGACAATTGTCTGTTAAAAATAAGTGGATATTTAATATTCGTATTATATATATATATAATACAAAAATTATAAATATTTTGGTATTAATAAAAGTATTCAAACTCCTTTCATAAAATGTCTTTGGTAAAGAATAGATGTAGAGATATTCTATTTTGGAACTTCAATGCTGAAAACATACCAATGAATAATAATTAGATTAATATTTCAAAGGAGTTAACTAACTAATGAAGGAATAACTAATGAACAAAAACTAATGAAGGAATAATTGGTTCACGACTGAATTATTTAAGCTAATTGTAACCAATGATAACAAGGATGTAGCCCTGTTATTGCATATATATATACAACAAAATAAATAACTACAAAAAGAGCAATGCAGTAAGAACGGCACATTAAAACAAACTCCTCTAGTTACGCTCAATTTGCGCTTTTGTTTTCATATTTTGCAATCTGGCAATCTTGTTACGAAAATATTTTTTAATTCATTCTTGAAAAATTTCCCGTTCATGTAAGTACATTTGAATTCGCTACTCGCTTTGTAGATTTTGTTTTATTCTATTTTTTCTTTTTCTTTTATTTTATTTTCTGTTTCTATGTATTATTTTTACTTATTGTTTTCTATTTTATTTGTTGTAATTTTTGTAAAAAAAAATTTTTGAGTGCTCCCCACACTATTGTATTAATATATTTTGCTTTGACTATATTGATAAAATATCAGAAAGCACTCTTTTTTGCGGATATAATCGTGTGGGCTGATGAAAAGATTATATCTTTTATTTTCCAGATTTTTTAAAAAAAAGAGTTTTATCTTTTTTTCCAGTTGCTTGTTATTTTTTTATAAATTTTTTTCTCCCCCCCCTTTTTTTTAAAAAATATGTCTGTATTTTCCTTTATTTTATCTTCATTTGCCATAAAAATTGTTTATATAATGCAAAACACCTGCTTAACAAACTGCACTAATATAACTCGTCCATAACTGTATTATTTAATAAAAGAATTTAACTTTCAGTTATTCGCAATGAATCTGGAATAGTAATGAAAACCAAATCCTCAATATCAACAGATAATACCTAGAAATTAATATAACAACGTATTTAATATAGTATTTAATTTATAATGATTGTAATATTTAATTTTACAGCCTTATAAATATAGAATGGAAAAAATATAGTTAAACCCCACACCTGACACCATTTTGAAAAGCGCCAATTTGGCCCGTTTTTAAGGACTGTCCCCAAGATTTGTAAGGGAAACGTTACAATTCAAAATGACTTTGTAAAAGAATTTACAATTATTTTAAATCAGAAAAGAAATTTTTACTTACTTACTTTACCCTTAGATTCTTTCTAAATTATATGCAAATAAATAATTATTAAAAAAAATTACAAATCAAAATAATTAAACGAACAAATGAATGAATAAAATAAATCGAAATACATTTCGTCTCCAGAGAGGTTTTTTTAGTAAAAGAAAAACTTTTTTGCAAATCAAAATAACAAAATATCGAGATAATAAAAAAAAATCAAAATAATTTTTTCACTGTTATTTTGTAACTGTGTTAATCTTCTTATTAAGTATTAATCTACTGGCAATATAAATACGAGTAATATTTTTTTCTTACTTAAAATATTATTTATTTATTTGTTCTGTTTTTTATAATTTGCATCATTCATAGTGTCGGGGACAATCCGTAAAAATTCCCATATGTGGCAATATTCAAAATGACGCAAAGAGTGATGTTAAACCACATTTTTACTATTACATATTAATGAGGCTATAATATTAAATATGATCATCTATTATTGCGTTTTCGATTTTCATTACTAATACAGATTAATTATTAATAACTAAAAATTATATTATTTTGTTAATTATAAGTATTGATAAGTTATATTATCAAAGTTTGTCAAATTGTTATATTACTAATTTTAAAAAAACCAACTAAGATTTGAAAAACATAATTAAAAAACAATATTAAAATCATAACAACTAAACATATTTATACGTTTTTCAAAAAAATGCTACTCAACATTCATATTTATTTATCTTAAATAGAACAAAATATAAATTTTAAATCATGTAAGATAATTTCACATTGATACCAGCTATTTATTTGTCATTTATTAGTATCAAAGGATCAACAATATGGAATTGTTTTACTAAGTCTTTATATTGCATCTACTGATCGTATAATTGTATATCCAACATTAATTGTAAATATGGTTAATATATTGAAAACATTTTAAAAGGCCCTAACTCAATAGAAAGTAAAAGCACATTTTTCTTTCAATTTTGAAACCTTGGTTCTAAAATATTTTTCTTTATTGAAGCAAATAAGAATAATAAAATCTGTATAACCAATTATTCAACAAAAAAAAATGTCTTTTTTTGCAGCCTATATATTTAAAATGTACAAAATTTTATCAGAAACATTTAGCAGCTAAATTTTTGGAGAAAAAAATTACAATACTCGTCACATGACAGAAAAATGCAATTTTTGTGGTGCTAACTTTTAAGGAAAAGAAGAAGAAAAAGTCTCTATTCTGCAATATTTTCTGTTATCAAAAACAAAGATGCATTTCTCACTGAATTAACGTTTTTGCCAGTGAAGCGAGATTGGTTCGCGAAACAAACCATGTAAATAATATTCGGGAGCAGCATTATTGATAATGAGGCGTTGTGAGCAGGAAGAATCTTGAGGGGCATTAGTCAGGAGAAGGTGTACAAGAATAGGAGAAATCTTGAGGACCATTAGTAAATACGAGGAATCTCCTGGACCATAAATCAATAGGAACTATCACGTGGAGTGTTAATGAGTAGGAGGTGTACAGAGTGGTGTCTTGGGATATTCATCCATTTTTAGATGCACCTGGATAATTTTTTTTTAATTTTTTTTCCGCACATGCTCTGTATAAAGCAACTACTCCAATTACTCTTATCTGCCGCAGTTTTTATTATCATTTTTTTTAATTTTAAAGCAATAATTTCGTTATCAGTTTAAAATTGATTCAAACGCTTTGTTTAATTTTTTTAAACATTTAAGCTATAGCAAAAGTGGCACTAGATCTAGTATATATTTTGGACATTTACCAAAGGTCTAGTCATACAAGGTCTGGTTAAATGCCATTGCCCGATATATCCTACACTGATGATTTTTTAAGGTCAAGTGCCACTGCCCGGTATACATTTGACCGGTATACCCTACACTGATGTTTTTTAAAGTCTAGTGCCACCGCCCGCAATACATTTGCCCGATATACACTACACTGATGTTTTTTTAAAGTCAAGTGCGATTGCCCGGTATATATTTGCTCGATACTCCAAACACTGATGTTTGTTCTAATCTATCGTCAGTAAGTGTTAAAATATATCGAATAAATGTAATTATATCCACGAATAAATTAATATAAAATCGGATGTAATAAATATTTCGGACATTCACCAAAGCGACTAATTTGATGGTCAACATTCACCGGTGAAAATCAACAACCACCGATTTCGGTCATTCACAGTAACATGCACATCATTTACATAATAACCTCATCAGGACGATTATTTCATACTTTGCCTAAATAGTATCCGGTATTTCAAAAAATAAAAATAATTGCTTTTGTTGGCGATGATCTCGTAAGGCGATAAAGAATCATGCATAGTACAGGTAAGGAAGATATTAACCTCGAAGGAAAAGTGTATGAATACCCCAAGGAACCGTACAGAGTATGAGAAATATTGAGGAGCATTGATGAGTGGTAGTATCTTGGAGACTATTAATGAGTAAGAGGAACCTTGTGAAGCATTAATGAGTAGGTAACTTAGTGAGTAGAAAGCTCTTGAAAAGCATTAGTGAGTAGGAAAAATCTTGGGGAGTGTTAATGTATATAAGGAATATTGATGCACAGTAGAGAGTAGGAGGTGTAGAAAGTAGGCAGAATTTTGTTGAGCGGAATTGAAAAAGTGATGTAGTGAGTAAAAAGAATCCTGAAGAGCCGTGGAGTAAGAGGCGTAATAAGTGAGAAAAAGGCGTAATGAGTAGGAGGAATCTTAAGGATCGTTAATGAATAGGAGAAAGCTTACGGAGCAATTTTGAGTTGCAGGCTTATAGGAGGAATCTTGGGAAGTATATTGTGAGTAGGAGTAATCTTGGTAATTATTGTTGTTTGGTTGAATAACAATAGTTCGCACACACAGTGCTACAAATCTGAATCAACCAACAACTAGCCATCATCATCAGCATCATCAATATTAATCTGGGCGCCTGGGGCCGTTAACGGCCTTTTTACCATTCGTCTTGAATTGTGATCTTTAGGGTGGCTCTTTCTGGTAATTGGAATGCAATTGAAGTAAAAGGAGTTTAAATATTTTGAATTTTAGATAAAATTACGTCACTACAAAAATAAGCTGCCATCGGTCTGAGATTTATGTCTTCTCTTAAGTTTTCAAAAGTAAAAATTTCGTTGAATCCTGCGGTGTCACAATTTATGGTTTTTTCAAAAAATCTGAAATTTAGCTTTGCATTATGATGATCTAAAGAATCTATGTTAAGGTCGCGATGTATGTTTATATTTCTGATAAACCATCTTGCTTTTGTTATTTTCCAGAGGATTTTGTTCTGGCATGTTTTGAGTTTTTTAAGGAGTGGTGTGGAGATGTTTCACCAAGCTGGAGATGCATAAGTCAAGATGGGACGGATCATTAAGATGTAGAGTATACGTTTAAGTCTAAGTTCCATTTTGGAGTTCTGAAGAAGGAATGGTAATCTGTGGCAGGCTGCTGGTGCTTTATTGATAACTGTTTGGATGTGATCTTTCCAGTTAAATTTACTGTTAATGACCAGACCAAGGTATTTTGCGCTTTTGACTATGGGAATAATTTCATTAAAGAGAACAATTTGATTTTTGGGAAGGATGGTTTTTCTTTTATGCTGAATGATTAGTAGTTTTGATTTTTGTCCGTTTACTTTGAATTTCCAGTCTAGACACCATGTTTCGATTTCCTTCAGTTTTCCTTGGAATTTTTGTAGGGCAATGTTGGGGTTTTTTGACTTCACTACGATCCCAGTGTCATCTGCGAAAAGTGCTGTGATGCTGTTAAAGTCTTGTTTGTCGACAGGAAAGTCGTGGGTAAATAATATGAATAGAATGGGCCCAAGAATACTTCCTTGGGGCACTCTTGCTGTTACTTTTCTGTTTGTTGACTTCATGTGCTTAAAGCTAACTTGAAAAGTTCTTTTATGTAAGTAGGCTTGTATAATTTTTATGATACCAGATGAGAATTTCAGTTTTATAAGCTTGAAGATGATGCCTTGGTGCCAAACCCGATCGAATGCTTTTGCTATATCTAGCATCAGAAATGAACTCTGTTTGTTGTGGAGGCCGCAGTCAATATAGTCGACTATTCTGAGGTGCTGTTTGGTTGTGTCAAGATGCTTCCGAAAGCCATACTGTTCGTCTGGTAATTTGGTAAGGTGAGGCATAATCCGTGTGTAGATAATTTTTTCCATAAGTTTTCCTAAATTGCACAAGAGACTGATGGGTCTGTAACTCTCAGGCATGGTAGGATCCTTGGCAGGTTTAAGAAAAAGTATGACATTTGCGTTCTTCCAGGCGTCAGGGAAATAGTTTAGGGCAAAGCAAGCATTGTAGATATGAACGATTAGTTAAATATACTCTTTGGTAGTAGCTTGATCATCTTGTTTTTGATATTATCGCAACCAGGGGCTGTTTTTGTTTTTAATTTCTTTATGTGATTTGTAACTTCTTCTGCTGTGGCCGGTTCGATTATTTCTGGAGATGAATGTGATAAGTTGAATTGTTTTACTTCTTCAGTAACCAAGTTGTGATTGTTTAGGTCGAAAGCCGGGTTTAGAGAGAATTACTTTTCTAGGAAGACAGCAAATGTTTCAGCTTTATCTTGCGATGTGAAGACATACCCTGTTTCTTTATGTAAAGGCTTATCCACTTGAGGTGTGGTGTGAAGTGATTTAGTCATTCTCCAGACAGAATTGTCCTCTGTGCTGAGTGATTCGATTTTGTGCCATCAACTAGTCAGCTTCTTCAACAAATATATATCTATTTCCCCTATCTTGTATTACATCACGCAACTCGCGCAACTTATTTGAGAATGAGAGGAAAAATGAGATTTTATTTGCATATTAACAACAATTATAAGTGAATTGGAGCAGTTTGAGGCGGAATCTCGAAGAGTTTTTGTTAATTCGAAAGATTATTGGGGAGCATAAGATTGCAAAACGCATATAAAGTGAGGTGGAGACATCAAGGGGTTTTAGGGAGTAGGGGAAGTAGTGCAAAGTAGTGAGCATTAGTGAATCGGAGTTGTAGGGAGTAGGAAGAATCTTGAAGAGCATTTGTGAGCATGATAAATTTAGGGAAACATTGACTAGGAGTAGGAGAAATCTTGAAGAGCATTTGTGAGCATGATATATTTAGGGAAACATTGACTAGGAGCAGGAGGAATCTTGAACAGCATTTGTGAGCATGATATATTTAGGGAAACATTGACTAGGAGTAGGAGGAATCTTGAAGAGCATTTGTGAGCATGATATATTTGGGGAAACATTGACTAGGAGTAGGAGGAATCTTTCGCAAGTGTTAATATATAGGAGGAATCTTGAAGGGCATTAGTGAGTAGTAGTCGTAGTCAGTAAAACGAAGCTTGGGTAGCAAAAGTAAGTAGGATATGTAGTGAGTATTCTTGAGGAGCTTTAATGAATTTGAGGAACTTTAACGAGCCTTATTGATTTGGAGGCTCAGAGGTGAGAAAAATCTTGAGGAGTAAAGGAAAGGGGTAGACCAGTACTATAATAAATTTTTTGAGACTATGGATATATGTAAAATTATACGTATTTTAAATACAATGAGCTTTTCTCTACGAATTTAAATATTTACATTTATACTTTGTTGAAAGTAAATACTGAATTTACATTTAACTTTTTTCTTTTATCCAGCGTTTACTCGAGGTGGTAAGACAAAATTTCTCTTTTTACCAATATCATGATTGTTCTATCATAAGTAAAAATATTATTTATAAATTTCACATTAAAAAAATAATCGTAATAACTTTAGATCCAATTAACGAATTATCACTTACACACATGCAATTTGAATGCTTTAATAAAGTAGAGCTTCCCAATTAAATCAAACATACGAAATTTTAAATCAGACATTGCGCACTTTCTCTGTAAACGTACCTTATAATTTGGACGAGATCCCTCCGGGTCGGAAAAAGAGTGCAATCTGTTAAATATCGTCTCAATAGTTCAGAAAAGAAAAGCTGTCTTAAATTACAATTTACTTCATCACTTTTCTTGTATATCTCCACACTTATGAAAAAATTTAAGCAAAACAAAAATAAAGAAAATGCACAACATTTTCAGATAAAATAAGAATAATAAAATTTGTATAGCCAATTATTCGAAGTGATTGTGTTTTTTGCAGCCTTTATATTTAGAATTTAAAATATTTTATCAGAAACATTTAGTAACTACTGAATTTCGGAAAAACAATAAGTGATCGTATGACAGAAATATGTAATTTTAGAAAAAAGAAATGAATCTTTATTCTGCTGTAATTTCTGTAACCAAAAACGGAGATGCATTTCAAAACTGAATTAACATGGATGAAAGTGAAGCGAGCTTGGTCATCACCTCCTGCATCAAAAAGCCTCCACACGGTCTTTTATAAGTAGTCCACGCAGACTGTTTGAAAAATGAACCAGTTGTGCGCATGAACACAAAGCCTTTTATAAAAGTAACTAACTAACTAACTAATCAAGTTTTTCAGAGTACCTATCCATGAATGGATATCTGCTCTTTCATCTAAATTGAATAATATGTGGTGGAAGGGAAGGGAGGTGCTGCGTTAACATTAAGTTAAATCTCAGAATGAACAATAATTGATAAAATCAAGTCTGGGTCATACATAAAAATAAATC